TCAACCTGATTAAGGCTATCTATGAAAAACCAACAGCCAACATCATACTAAATGGTCAAAAACTGAAAACTTACACGCTAAAATCTGGAACAAGACAAGGATGCCTACTATCACCACTCCTGTTCAATATAGTTCTCTAAACATTAGCCACAGCAATTAGACAAGAGAAAGAAACAAAAGGAATAAAGATAAGAAAGGAAGAAGTTAAACTGTCATTATTTGCTGATGATATGATACTTCACATAGAAGACCTGAAAAACTCTGTCAAACGACTTCTAGACTTAATTGACAGATTCAGTAGAGTAGCTGGATACAGGGTTAACACTCAAAAATCACAGGGCTGGGGATTTAGCTCAGTGGTTCCGGCATCTGCCTCGCAAGCAAAAGGATCCGAGTTCAATCCCTGGTACCAAAAAAAAAAGAAAAACAAACAAACAAACAATCATAGCCTTCTTGTACACAAATAACAGACTCGCTGAGAGAGAAATTAGGGAAATAATTCCTTTTACAATAGCATCCAAAAAAATGAAATATCTAGGAATCAATCTAACAAAGGAAACAAAAGACCTCTACATTGAAAATTATAGCACTCTGAAAAAAAGAGATCAAAGAGGATAAAAGAAAATGGAAAGATATCCTGTTCCTGGGTAGGAAGAACCAACATAGTGAAAATGGCCATACTTCCAAAACTGCTATATAGATTTAATGCAATGCCGACTGAAATTCCAACAATGTATTTCCAAGAAATAGAGAAAACAATTCAAAAATTCATTTGGAACAAGAGACCTAGAACAGCAAAAGCAATTCTAGGCAACAGAGACATGGCAGTGGGCATCACAATCCCCAGTGTGAAACTATACTACAAAGCTATTGTGATAAAAACATCATAGTACTGGCAAAGAAACAGACCCGAGGATCAGTGGAATAGATTAGAAGATGCAGAAACAACTGCAGACACACTCAGATACCTCATCTTTGACAAAGGAGCCAACCACCCTCACTGGAGGAAAGATAGCCTCTTTAATAAATGGTGCTGGAAAAATTGGGCTTCAATGTGCCAAAGATTAAGACCAGACCCATATCTATCACTATGCACTAAACTAAGATCGAAGTGGATTAAAGATCTAAGTATTAAAACAGAAACACTAAACTTGCTGGAAGATAAGTTAGGTAGAACTCTCAAAGGCATTGGTATAGGAAAAAACTTTATGAAGAAATCCTCAATAGCACAAGAACTAGCACAAAGAATCAATAACTGGGATCTCATTTTATTAAAAAGCTTCTGCACTGCAAGACAACCTCCAATGTGGAAAAAAAATTTTACAAGGTGTTCCTCAGATAAAGGTCTACTATCTAGAATATATAAAGAACTCAAAAAAATCAGACCCCCCAAATATGAAGACCCAATTCAAAAATGGGCATCTGAAATGAACAGACATTTCTCAAAGAAGTATAAGCACCAAATAAACATATGAAAAAATGTTCAACATCATTGGTCATTTGAGAGATGCAGATGAAAACAACACTGAGATTCTACCTCACCCCAGAAAGAATGGCTGCTATCAAGAAATCAACCAATAATAAATGCTGGTGGGGGTATGGAGAGAAAGGAACCCTTCTCCATTGTTGATGGGAGGGCAGACTGGTGCAACCACTGTGGAAATCACTATGGAGATATCTCAAAGAACTAGCACTAGAGGTCCCATTTGACCCAGCTATTCCCCTGCTGGGTATCTTCCCAAAAGAATTAAAAGAATCATACCATAGCGATATATGTGCACCCATGTTTATAGCAGCACAGTTTGTTATAGCTAAAGCTTGGAAACAGCCCAAATGTCCATCAACTGGAAACTGTATAAAGAAGACGTGGTTTTTTTATAAAATGGAGTACTACTCAGCCATCAAGAACGAGAAACTACAGATATTTATAGCTAAATGGATGCATAATGAGGCCATATTCTTAAGTGAAATAAATAGGACACACGTGTGTAAATACCAAATAGTTTCTCTGGTGTGAGAAACTGAAAGTGTAACTAAGGATTAAAATGATTAAAATGAATAATTGATAATTTGATATAGGAAGAAAAGGTGCAAAGGGGTAGGGGAAGTGGGAACAGAAGGGGAAAGGAAAGAAGGGAAAGGAAAAATTATGAGAAGAGGAAAAAATGGAAACAAAGTTTTTGTAAATAGGGGTAGGGTAGAGGGGGTGAGGGGAGGACGGGGAATGGGGAAAAAAGAAGAACCAAGATACATCATGTACAGGTACAAGCACCCAATGATAAATGTACACGTATTGTATACCTAAAATGTACCAATAAAAGAATTTAAGCAAAAAAGAAAAAAAAGGTGTGAAGAGTGAATGAAGCTAAAGAATATTTCGTAAGTCACTAGGAAATACAACTTCATGATGTCTACACATACCCATAGTAACACAAAAAAACCAGCTCAGACAATACGATATCAAAACCAAGAGGAATACACATCCAGCAAGACACAACAACTACTGCCTCAATGAACCCTTTACTAAATTTATAATCAAATTGAATTTTAAATTAAAATCGTAACATAGTAAGATTTGGTCATTAATTCAATATGACTTATCTACAAGTAAAACTTATCTACAACTTATCTACAGGTAAAAGTTTCAGATAATATAAAATCTCAAATGAAATATCCTTTAATTATTGAAGACATAAAATTAGACAACTTTGGATAGCTTATGACCTAAAATCATTTCAATCTAAGAGAAAAAAAAAACTGTGATCACATTGTTGTGTTGTATAATGGTCTACCTTTTTATCACTATCTATTTTAGTATTCAGTTTAAACAAATCTTAAGTATATCAAAATTACCACTAACTGAAATATCTTTCATTATTAAAAGGATGGCAATAATGATGGCATCACTAAGAAACACAAGCATGATCATATTTCCATCTTTGTGATTTCCTTCTACCCACCTGAAGAGGTCTCCAAATTTACTTCTGAGGTGGCTACATGATACATAAAGATCATAGAGGTAGGCTAAGATGCATCTTTCAGGGGAAGAGCATTCTGAGGGGTTTACAACATGCTTTACCACACCACATAACCTGAGGACAGAAATACAGACAATGAAACTCATATTCTGACAAAACACATTATCATTTGAATCTATTAAGAGTGGGAATGTCTGTGTATTATGTGGATCATCATAATAAAAGGGAATTATTGAATATCAGCTTCCTAACACTGAACTACTAGATACAAAAAAGTCCTTTAGAGGGCCGGGGATTTAGCTCAGTGGTTCTGTTGCTCGCCTCACAAGGCAAGGTCCTAAGTTCGATCCACAGTACTTTAAAAAACAAAAAAGTCCTTTAGAAATGACATTGACAACAAAAAACAAAAGCAATGAAAAAAATTCTTCTGCACAAATGGTGTACGTATACAGAAGAATCCACCAATTAAGTTGCTGCAAATAGGACCCCAAAATAAAGGGGAAGTAGAGAACCTTACTCTAATTAAAAAGATCCACAAATTCACAGTTAGTTTTAAAAGATTCCCAAATTCGAAGAATCCTTTGTAAAGAAAAAATTTTTGAAAGAAGTAAACTTGGAGAAATTCATTTTCAAAGGGTGATTCTGGCATCAAGTTGATGAACTCAAGGTTTGGAGTTATATTCCGTTTATTTATTCAAAGTAGAAACAAACTTACCTTAGTTTATCTTATACAAGAAGATAAAGCCCATTCTATTTGATCTAAGTCACCTCTTGTCAAAGTTATCTTTAATTAATCAAATATATGAAATCAAAGAACCAAATTACTATGATGAGATGTGCTGAGCTTACTGGATTTTCCAAATAAAAACTCAAATTACATGAACGGAGAAGTTACAAATATTCATTATTTACAGTAAAAACCAAGATGCTGGGCAGCATAAATAATAGAGTGCTATAAATGACCAGCCTTCTACTCTCAGAAACCAGGGGTGGGAAGGAAGGCAGGAAAGAAAGGAGGAGGAATAATAATTTAAAAGAATAAAATTACTTGTATTTCCTCTGATAAATCAAGATATTTAACTATGTTTTCATTAAAACAGGCATCAATTCTACTTTCCTCTTAAAACCACTATCATATTTTACCACAAAAATTATTCATTCTAGAACTAAAAAAAAGATAATGACATTTCATGTACCAACCCTTCAAACACCTGGGCTGTCTGATCAGGATTGAGGATCAGACAACTGTGATACTGCCTGAGAACAGCCACAATGCAGACACACAGTCCTGTTGTGTAACTTCCTGCCAAGCTGGAGGATTTTAGGAGCAGTTCAGCTTCCACAACACTCAATTCATTCAGTAACTACAACAGAAGAGATTGAATAAAAATGATACCAAAACAAACATGAAAAACACACACTTCTACAAACCATGAATATCCTGTCACTTGGTATATGACAACCTCAGAAAATACAAACAAGTGAATGAGTTTTTTAAATTTTTTAACCCTTTACCAATTAATAGATGTGTTCTTCTGTCTAGACATCAGGATGTACACAATCAGGAAGTACCCAGTGCTGAAATAGGTACTGAAACTTTAGAGTGACCCTAGGTTCTGAATTGGATAATTTTAGAGAACATCCCTACCCTTCACTTTTTTGCCCCTGTTCCCCTTATTTTTGACTAAAAAAAAGAAGATGTTGACATATTCTTCTTAATAGAACTAATCCTACTACAAAATAAGAAATGAAAACCAAGCCTAATATCTACTAACAACACAAGGAATAAATAAACTCAAATAGGCACAGAACTACAGTGGGACAAATTAAACTATATGGGCTTTTTAAAAATTTCAACCTAAACTATACTCTAGCATAGAGAGGAAATAATCTTTCATCAATAGCTCAACAAAATAACAGGAGACAATAAAATACTCAAAACTCTTGGATTTTTAAATGACATATATTTTATCAACAATTATTATTTAATTGAAAACTATCAGCATAGATAAAATTAAAACAATAGTTGAAGACTATTAAGTCACAAGGACTCTATTATTAAAACATCACCATGTCTTTAAAAGAGTATCAATGAACACCACCTGGTTCATTTTAAATGGATGGTAGTTACCAGGGTTTGGGAGAGGGGAGATAGGGGAGGATGGGAAAACTGGTTAGTGGGTACTAAGTTACTGTATAGATAGAAGTCAAAGTTTTGGTGTGCTGTTGCACACCATATGACTATAGTTAATGATAATCTGCAGTACATTTCAAAATGAAAATATTTTGAGTTTTTACCATAAACATATAAAGAAACGAAAAATGAGGAAACAGGTTTAGCTTGATATAAACATTATACAACATATATGTGTATCAAAGCATATGGTATTCCATGAATATGTACAATTTTTATGTTTTTATGTATCAATTAAAAAACAAATTTAAACAGGGCATGGTAGCATGTGCCAATAGTTCCAGCACTTGGAAGGCTGAGGCAAGAGGATTACATAAAAGCAATAGTTTAAGAGCAATCTGGTGACAACATAATGAGACCCCATTTTGAAAAAAAAAAATAGTGAATAAATTTAAATTTTTCCAAAAAATCAATCAATAAATTCCATCATCCCTAGTAGGTTTGCTTTCCTAAAGGCAAGAGAAGCAGTCTACACACCTGTATTGCAAAGTCAATTAGTCCATTGATATTCAGTGCTGGTTCCATGAGATCAAAGATGAGCTGAATATGGTGGGCCAAGGGGAGATGATAGGATGTGCCTGAAGCAAAGCTTGTGATTTGTTCCAGCACATTGTTAGAGATCTGTGAAAACACAAGTAAACTAAGTATATGACCAATACTCTATATAATCTTTTACTTAAGTTATTTCAGGCTTTCAAGTAAGGCATTTGAATTCGTGCATGATTTTACTTATATAAAAGTTAAACTTATTTTCCCAGGAATCAAAACCGTGCATAAATCATTTAATAATTGGAAAAAATATAACAAATTGTTATCAAGATGTAGATCCTAGTGATTCTAAAAGTATAACTACACAAATTTTCATATGTATCTAATTTAAACTGAATTTATAAGAAAAAAGATGAGTTTTTTTCCCAATTTCACAGTATTTTATTTCAATCCTCAACAGACTTATTCTTCCTCAACAGTGAAATATAACCATTATACAACAACATAAGCATTGCATTAGGGATTATTTTATATATTGCAATTATTACTATAAGGTAAAAACATTTACATAATAAAAATAAATGCTTAGGAAGGCAATGCGACATTTAATAGTAGTATGAAATAGTTCCAAATATTTTTTAAAGGTACTTATGAAATTAACTATGGCTAAAAACATACTGTACTAAAGATTTGAGAGAAAATAAGAATATTCCAGTTGCATAATAAACAGGCCAAAATGGCTACCTGAGATGTCACTTGATGCTGATCAAAGTAAGAAAGGAGTTGGAGTTTTGTGAAGACAGTCTCGAGGGTTGGAAATGATTCTTGTTTGTTCTTCCTGGCTTTTGGCCCTTCGTCCCCAGCTAAATAAGCATAAAACAGATGGGGTATTTTTTTGTCTATTTAAGTAAAGCCCTTCATTTTTTAATAGATAATTTTTATTAATGTATAACATATGTAGAAAAAGTGTATATACTCTTGAGTATCCACAAATGTAATGATGTCCAAATCAGAAAACAGCATCCCAGAACCCCAGAAACCATTTAGCCCTCTCTTATCACTACTTTCTTCACAGGGGACCAAGATACTGAATTCTGACAGCTTAGAACAGTACTGCCCATTTGGGAAGTTTATACAATTGAATATAATTTTCATATGTGGCATCTTTTGGACAACATTATGGTTTTTGTGTGTGTGTAGAACTGAGGATAAAACACAGGTGTACCTTACAACTGACCACTGAGCTACTAATTCTCTAACATTGTTTTTTATTTATTTTTGGAGGCAGAGTCTGATTTGCCCAGGCTGGACTCAAACTTAGAATCCCTTGCCTGTGTCTCCCGAGTATTACAGGCATACACTACTGTACCTGGCCACATTATGCTTTCAAGTTTTATTCATTGTTGGCCTTGGGAGTATATAGCTCATAGGTGGTGTAGCTCAGTGGTAGAGTGCATGCCTAGAATGCTTTAGGCACTGGGTTCAATCCCTGGCCTCAATCCCTAGAATGCCTGAGGCACTGGGCTCAATCCCTGGATCACTCAGTACCACTTTGACACAACAGGTCCCTTCAGTAGCATTTTCTATGGAGACTCACCTCTATACTTATCTGAATCAGTTTAATATGTAAAAAGAGAAAAGAAATTTACATGATGCCTAACATTCTGAGGGACAGGAAGGACCTAAATCACTCCACATTAATGAGAAAGTGTTATTTATTATAAAGAAGTTTGAAGAAAATTCCATTAAAAATATTACATTGTTTATTTCAGAGGGTATTTTTTTCTTAACAGTACTAAGAATAAGATCCAACAGTGGATTCACTTCTATTTTTAAATATATTTACTATATGTATTTACAAAGAAAAAATCCAAAAACAAAGGAAAAGTGATTATATGATTTTGAAGGTCATTCTCTACATTATGACGCTAAGCAGTTAAAAGGCTCATGAGCTCTGCTATTCATACTGTCTATTCATACTGTCTCCTTGTTGAGGAAAGTTTAATTTGAGAGAACAAATTTCACTTTACAGATTTCTCTCTTAAAGACACAAGAAATGAGCAAAATTTCACTAAACTAAAACATGTTTTGCTAATGGAAAAAGTAATGCTTTCAGAAAGTAATATTAAAAGAAAAGACTTCCCTTTCAACAATAAGCAATTAATATTTAAAGTCCAACACAAAAACAAACAAAATATCTTATTATATTGCAAACTGCTAAAAAAAAAAAAAAGATGTAAAATCCAGAATTAAGAGGTGTTAGAGTAACATAAGTTATAAGCCAGTGACACTTTTAATGGTATACCAGATATGTGCAAAGAATAAGAATTAGCAATTTCATTACATACACTTAGTTTTCAATGTCTATTCTCATAAAAACACAAAATAAGCATGGAATTTTGCATTCACGATAGCTGTTTACAGGTCAGGAGTATGTTTGAAATATCCAGTTTTGATTTTTTTCATTTCCTCACATCAGTAGTCTCCCATTTACTTACATAGGACTACTTCTTAGAACCTCATGTAAAAGGATGTAATACATTCTTGGAAATTTATATCCACTTTAAAAGAAAAATGTAGAGGATTAATGGTGGTTCTCAATGAAATATTTATTATAATATTTACATAAAAACGGTAAGTCACAGTTCGTAGATTTTTAAATCTATTTTATTAACTTGCTTTCATAACTTACATTATTCTTCTTTTGTTGTATAATTTTTAATTTTCAATTTTTAAAGTTCTTAAATCCAGAAAATGTTGGCCTTTTAGGTTTTATGATAGTAAACTTCATTCTTTCAAAAGAAACCCATTAATAACCAAAAAAGGATGACTAGTCAATTAAAATATAAAATGAAGTTTGACTATGTTTTAACTGGTAATGTCATTTAAACTTTAGATTAGAAAGTCCCCTAGGAAGGCCTGGCTGATCTGTCTACACTCTTTTTTTTTTAAATTAATTTTATTGGTACATTTTAGGTAAACAATATAATGACACTCATCATTGGAAATTTGCACCTTTACATAATCTCTCTTGGTTCTTATTTTTTCCCCATTCCCTTGCCCTCCCTTCATCCCCTCCATCCTCCTTATTTACAAAGACTTTGTTTACATTTTTTCATTTTCTCATATTAATTCCATTCCCTTCTTTCTGTTCCCCTACCCCTCCCACTTCCCCTTCCCCTTCCCCTTTGCCCCTTTTCTTCCTATTCACATTATCTATTATACCTTACACTCTTATGGGATGGTTCTTCAAAATCTTATTTGTTTGTATTCTCAGGATCAAATACATGCTAACACACGCCCATTAGCAGTCCTCATTCTGCTGGGGTGAGCAAATTTCTATTAACCTGAAGTACAGCTGGCCAGCTGCCAGTGCACACACTAAGTTTTAAGTTGTGATTTAAATAAGGCTACTATATTTTCCACAAAGAAGCTCAGTACATCTCAACACCTTTCTGGTTGAGGGTTTTTATCTAAAATGATGGAAAAAAAGAAATCTCTTTGAAGATGCTGCTCTAAAGTGCTGTTTCTATTACTGGAATCTGAAAAAGCAACGAAATAATTATTTTCTCTATGTGAATTTGTACCACAGAAGAGCCTATTCAAGGCATTGATACAAAAACAGGACAGATTAGTCTGGCATTAAAAAAATAAACCACGAGGAAGTAGACTGAACAAAAAATTTCTTCCATTTCCTATCCCCTTCAGCCTTTTAAAACCAGTAATTCCATAGGATCTGAAGACTCGCTGCAAGTAATTTAGATAAAGTGTATACATCTGAATCTCTTACAGGAGACAATGACTCCCCCATTTCCAAATATATCAAAAATAGTGTCAAATATTCTCTGCTATCTAGCTGCAGGGTTTCTAAATTCAATTTGTTAATGCAATTCATTTCCTCTTTTCTCTAAGAAAGAGAAAACATCACACCAATTTAGTTTTCTTAAACAGAGCACTTTTCTTTTTCAAGCTTAGCCAACAAGAGGGTTTCATTTCCTTTTACAACTTTTGGTTGTTCCCTCATGGTGTTAGGTCATTAGATAGCAATGGAAAGGAGTTAGGGAATGAGATATAAATCCTATGTAGTAACTTTCTCACTGTGTTCTAGACATAAAGCATCCAGAACACCATATACAGACTGAAACACACATTGCCCCTTTTACCATATTTCTGCATGTGCACCGTTACGGCAGAAGAAAGTTCTTTGAAACATCTGCACCTATATTTTTCTTTAAGAAAGATCTAGCATAGATAAGTTCAAGCACTATACCCTGTTAAAATCTAAAGACTGGATCTTCCATAGAGAAATTCATACAAAGGGTATTAGGGTTCCTAGAGGAGGTTCACACCTTATATAGGAAGAATGCTGTTTATACAGAGTTAATCCAAACACCTTTTCTTTATATTATTGAAGTATTAGAAAAAGAAACAGCAGTGGTGGTGGAGGGGAATATATTATAATATCATATTTTAAGTCCTATGATTGCATAAACCTTGAAAGGAGTAATTAGGCAAATGTGAAATAGATAATTAAAAATTCCAATTATGCAATGCAGTAACATAATATAAAGGCATAGCTTCACTGTAAATATGTAAAAATCATAGGGGAAAGAAAATTCTAAGAAGGCGTTACTGCCAAAGGCCCAATTTTGTTTTTTACTCAAAATTATTTGCTGATATGGATAGGTATCACTGCTTATTGTAATTCTTCTTCTGAATATAGTAAAAAAAAAAAAAAGAAAAGTTCAGCAACTACACTGTCATGATTTTCAATTAATAGGCAAATGTGAGTGCCCCAGCAAACTAGAAGCCTGAAAAATCATGGTAAAGAAACAGGGAGATGAGACCTCATCCAGAATAATGGTTTTCCAACACATTCTTCAGTACATTATTACTACTCTAGAAAATTTGGAATGTATACCAAAAGAGTAGACAATAAAAATTACCTGTATCTATCTATACAATATGGTATTTTAATACAAATATTGCTATTAATGGATACAAGTTCTTAAAATTTAAATGTGCTTATTCATATTTCAATGTGACAGTCACTGAGGAGAGGAAACACTCTAGTGACAGTGACATATAATGATAAAGACTGTGTGAAGGAAGACAAAAGAGAATACAGTGGGAGCCAATGCATTAAGGCTCTTTACCCCCTGTCTCTGTGGTGCTCTTCTTATTTAGGATTTTCAAGATATCTTTGGTAATCTTCTTCAGCTGATGCCTGGCTTCGTCACGCTCTTTGCCAACTCCATAGAGAAGGATTGTGCGCTGGTTACATTCATGACTTGAAGATTCATCCTGAAAAACAGAAAATGTATTCCGAGACTCTCGCTTGCAGAGGTGGGCTTGCTGTGCATATCCCCGAATCGCACTAACTGCAGCACCTCGGGTTCTATTGGTGGCATCCCACCCATCTTGCAAGTCATCTCACCCATCTTGCAAGTCATCTCAACCTCCACTGGCAAAACACTTGTTTTTCCAGTCTGGACTTGCTAAAGTTAAAAAAAAAAGTGTCAACTGATCTGAAGTGTTAATAGAAGCATTTGATGTGGGCATATCCTACAGAGTAAGTTCTGGCTATTAAAAAATTTTTCATTGCTTAAAATTGAACATGGTATTAATTTCATATCATGTAGCATATTATTATTTGTACTTTCTCCTTAAGGAAAATGTTTTTTCTTAGTAAGCTTGGCTTTATATATGTAGCAGTGATATATATTTTATATTTAGGGGAAAATTTTACTGGGTCCTTCAAATATCTTTAGAAAAAAATATTGCATTTACTTGCAGCATTGCTGTTAAAAATACATTTCTATTTATCTTCAAATGATAAAGCAGAAAAGACTGAAGATCTTCGGTGTGAGGTAAATAGCTGAAAATGCAATCATGTTCTAATGCCACCACTGTTCCCTCCCCCAGTAATTAAGTCCAAACACTGTATTTTCCCACTTGGGAAAAGAAATTACTTAATTCACAACACAGCAGAAATAGATATGCACCACTAGTACATTCCCTAGCCAACTGTAAGTAGTCCAGAATGAGTTCTCATTTTAATGCACAGTTTGTAATTTTTTATCTCAAATTTTTCCTTGGATCTTATACTATAGTCTTCCATTTTCTGGGTAAAACTTCAGCTCTAACCCTATGTATATCCTTTTCTTATCCTCTGTACAACTTTATTCATGGCAAGCATTTCTTTTTCCTACCAGCATCTTATCCAATGAAGCTCACAGGAAAAAAAAAATCTCAACCCATTCCTTCATAACAAGCAACGGCTGCACCAAAGACCAAAAACCTTCAGACCTGGGGAACTCTGATGTTTACTCTGGAGTACTAAATGTGTGTGCTCAGTACAAAGTAGCATTTTGCTTCTGTAGACCTGAAGAAGCTGTGTTCCGTTCCAATTCTGTCACTTTGTTCACGGTCTCTTATCATTTTATTAGTCTTTCCCTCGTGCACACACTTGTCATCTGGCCACATATCCATTACACTGGTTCCTTTCTATTATACTCTACTAGAAATATACATTTGCATGCCCTATTTATCTTGCTATATCCCTCCATGAACTTGTAATGCTTCAAGAGTTCAAATTTGCTAGGGAGTGAGCTAGCAGAGAAAAGGGGAGCGAGGAGAGAAATAGAGGGACAGAGCTGGAGGGAAGGGGGGGCGGGGAGAGGCAGGCTCCCAGAAGGATGTTCTTATTTAACAAATTTTCAGACCTAAATGTAGGAAACAAGGGGTGATGGTGGGCAGGTGTTAACAGGTAGATTCTTATACTAAGCTGCACAACTGAATAAGCTTAGTTGCTTGTTAAACTCCAACTCCAACTTTAGCTATTGTTACAGAGCACTGCTAGCATAGCTTTTTGTCTGGCAAGATGTATCCTTACAAAGAGGATAGAGGCCACTTAGAACACTGCAAAATCAGGTGGTTCCATTCATATGCTTTGTCATTTCAGTTAAGGAGCATGTCAAATGGTCCTAAATCAATGTCTGTGTGAGAGGTGAAGGAAAAAGTGAGCAAAGTTATTTGACAACTCTATAGACTATGTACTTAAGGTAAGACATGGTAGGAATACTCAGAAAATACAAGAATGAACATTCCCAGTCTTCAAGAAGCACAGATTCAAGTCAAAAGCAGTTACTGTAGAGCTAGAAGTCCAAATGGAGATAGTGAGGGAAAGCATCCTAGAAAATCTATGTACTTATCCCAGAAGCTCAGGATAACTGTATTCACAGTAGCCCAAGCTTAGGGCAGAGAGAGCTGTGACTGCATCCCAGGGCTGCCACTAGACAACTCCATGATCCCATATAATGAACTGAGGGCCAGACTTTTCCCCTGAAAAAATGGGGAAATGCCATCTTCCTTGTAAGGTCTTTGGGAGAATAACTGAGATAAAGTATATAAAATGCTTAGGAGTATACTAGACACAGTTCTCACTGCTGAAAATTCATATTCTAGACTTCTTATCCTCTTGACAGCCCCCTAGGCTCCACAATGTACTGCAATATTCAACATTTTCCATATAGACTGGTACAGCTCCTTCCATCACTGTTGCTCTTTCCACCACCTAAAATATTCTCAACAGCTTCAGCTGCACTTGCCGAAATGCTATGTGCAACTGCAGTGTCAGGTCACTCTGACACCCTGTTTATGGAAACCCTTACCATAAGACTAGGAAGGGAAAGGAGAGTTGGGAAGGTTTATCATAGTGTAATTCAATTTTCTAAATGTTCGTCTTTCCCGCTGGACGCAAATTTTGAGAAAAACTTCATATCTGTTTTATTCTTTTTTTTGTATTCTCCTTCATAGACACCAAGCTGGCACTTAGTATTTGTCAAGTACACCAAATACATAATTGGACTAATGAACACACATTTGGTAAAAGGAATACGTCAGGGCTTAAGACAAAAACAGAGATTAGTTTCATAGGAAACTTAACCTCATAGTTAAGTGGCAAGAAAACTGAAGGGAAGAAGTGAGTGTCAAGCAGAAAGTTTGAGCAAAAATGTTTGTAGCATGAACAAAGACTTAGTGGTGAGAATGAGAACTAAGAAGGAAAGCCCAAGATGTATCTGAAGGAAGTTAGGAAAGGATCAAGTGTCTGAATCTAAGGAGTTGGTGTGTACCATAATGGATTTCAAGAACAATCTGTTGGTGAAAAAAAAAGCATATTATGAGGGCTGGAAGGATATAAGTGCAAGGAATTGAAGGGGCAGATGAAAATGTATGATTAATGTGTAGTTTTTAGTTTGATGCCATCACTAGTACAGGTGACATGGATAAGTATAGTGTGACAAGTGCTGGGAGGGGTATAAACTTCCATATTTTCTTTTTGTGGAAGAAGACTACAGAGCTGAGATGATATAGAATGCAAGCAAGCCATCAAGTAGTGCACATGTACATTTCATAATTAATATGATGCTCTGATTAAAATGCAGGGTCACAGAAGTCTGGAGACTTATGAGAATATGGGCAATCAACAATGTCAATGGCTTATTTACTAAAACATCATGTGTGAACCTCAAAAGAGAAGTTTCTCTAGAGTGGAAAGGGAAGAACGCAGGAAACAAGGGTTGAAGAGTTGATGATGAAATAGTGAAGGCTAGAGAAGTGACTCACATTTACTACAAATAGAACATGAAGAACAGCAGTTTGAGAGAAAAGAAAAAATTTTATTTGGATAATCAACTTCAAACTCTTGTTTCAAAGCTGTGATTCAAATAAAGAAGTACCATTAAGGTAATCCAGATTGAAGAGTAGATTAAGTGAAAGAGAAGAGAGGAAACAATGGGCCCTTGTTTAGATTAATATGGAAAGAAAGGGACATCTTTCTACCTGAGGCTGAGAGATGTGGTGAGTAAGCGAGAAACTTAAAGAAGCTCCAATCAGTTCACTGGCCTGAATATGGTTAGGGAGTTGGGTCAAGAAAGTAGGTCAGGACTTGCTAGTGAGGGGAAGAAAGTAAAAAGCCAAAGCAACATAGTTAGCTACAAAAAAAAACCCCAGTGATTAACCCCTAAGTGAGAAGATAGAATTTGTTTCTTATAGCTAATACTTTTAGGAATATCACAATAGCTGTTACTGTACTAGCCTTCAAAGAGGACAGTTGCAGACATTTTAAAGCTAGTTTTTCTTCAGTAGCCTATAAGATCTGTTTATACAATTTGTTTTGTACAACTAGGATATACATTTTTCAAAGTGCCTATGAAAAAATACCGAATGATTCCAAAGGTACCAAGGACTTCTTTCAACTTGGTATTTAAACATTCCCAAGTACATAGTTGTAATAGTAATGATCTCAGATCAGCACCAGAAAATCACTCTATAGGTTACTCCTTGAATGATACATTCCTTAAGCAGGAAAAAGAATCAAATGGAGATTCCTCAGGAAGAGCCAAACTATCTCTTTTAAGTTTGCCCACCTGCTGCTAGTGGACTGAATGGGACATCTTCCCTATAAACTGAGTTCTAAAAAACGGCATCCTCCAGATCACTTACCTTCCTTCCCAGATATTACCTCACACTCAGAGACTTACACAAGAAAAGAGGAGGAAATACATCCAAAGCCATGGTAGGTTTATTACACTACAGAAATTAAATGTATTTCTTCAGCCAAACATCTTTAAAAGGAAGAAACAGAGTTAACAAAACTGAGGGCTGATCTAAGTCATTTTAATTTCCTTAAGATAAATGATTAGAAATGTTGCCAAAATATGTATTCAGAAAGATGTGAGATTATCAGAGCTGTGGGTTCTCCTTTCACCTTATTCATATTTTCTGATATTTCTACAGTGATTCAATAATCATAGTTTTAAAATTATTAAACCAATGTCTAAAGGAAAAAAGAATCCCATTCTGCATCTATGTTTTTCTTCCAAATACTTATGATTAGATGAAGTAGATGTAATATTCCTAATAAAAGAAAATACAGCATTTCATACTTCCCCTCTATTTTTTATGCTTAAATATTCAGATGGAAACATAGTACACATTATAGAATAAGTTGCGCTTAATATCCTGCCTCACCTGTAAGTAGTATAGCCAGCTTTATAAAAATAACAACTTTAGCCAATCCTTTACTAAACGAAAAATAAAAAATAAAAATAAAATGAAGAGCTCTCAACATTATGAGTTCTTAAAGATTATTTTTTTCAACTGAGTTAAAACCGTACAGCATTAACGTGAACAAAAGTGTTCCTTAATTCTCAAATTTCTCAAGAGCCTTTGCATGTATCTTCAAAAAAGTAGTATAATTTAAGAATCTTGAATTTGTTTTCCTTCAATGGGGTAGATTGACTTACAGAAAATAATCATGACTTTCTTATAAACCTTGTTTTATATGAATAAAGAAACATATCATAAATATCCTGTAGAGTTTATAACTTGATATAAAGGCAAGTGTAATCCTCATTTTATTTAAAGAAGTGTACTCATTCCACACCTATCAGTCACCTCTCATTCCTGGGCCTAAAGATGTGTACGTGTGTGACAGCAGATTCACAGGTACTGTACACAGCTCACAGCAAAATGTTGGCTTTGGAAGCAAAAGATTGGAAAAGTCTTCAATTAACTTCAAAGCTTTGCTTCTCAATTTCCTTCATCCAGAATGGGGATAAAATAAGTAAAGTATTTACTTCGGAAAGTAGCTAAAATAATGAGTTAATTCATAACAGTAAAAGAAATCAAATGTTGACTGTTACTATTTTAAAACATAAAACTCCTTTTAAAAAGTATAATTTCAGCTCTCTAAACCAACAAATAAGAAAGGCTACTTAAGCTTTATTATAATATTAATTTTTTGGTTTTTTTGTTTTCTGGCACCAGAGATCGAACTCAGGACCTTGCACTTGCGAGGCAGGTGGTACCACCACTGAGCTAAATCCCTGGCCCTATAAAAATAACACAAATTTTTCCCCAACAAAAGTTTAAAATCAAGTTTAAAAAAGTTTAAAATCAATACTCCTAGATGGCCAACACATGAAAATTAGTAAGTAACTAAACTTTGCAACGGAAATGAGAAAAACTGATACATATAGATGGCTGCAAATTCATGATGGCAATAAAATTCTTATGTCCATTTAAATCAGTGGTCCTCAAACTTTTGTGTGCCTGAGCATCACATGGAAAGCTCATTAAAACATAGATGGAGGTTGGTACACCACAGTTTCTGATTCATGGGGACTAGGTAAGTGCCCGAGAATATACATTGCTAGGTGAGGTTCAGTACTTCGAGAATCAATATTGAAGAAATAACTGCAAATACAGACACAACTCTCAAACTTCAAAAGAAATGATTAAAATATGTATTCATAGCAAAAGCACCTACCAAAACAATTCTACTGCTTACAGGAGGACAATACAGTTCTAGATGTTACACCTTGTAAGGTGTAATGGCAACAAGCTTTACCCTTCCAGTTTCTCCCCTAGGCATCTTTTGCCGTTTAGGTTTAAAATAACTGTACATATTAGTAATACAAGGGTTCCTTAATTTAATGTCATTATTCCAATTTCCTCAAAATTTAAATCTATGTAAAAAAATATTTTTTAAAAAACTTGTTTATATTTAAATCCTGTTTAAGAAAAGCATGGACAAGGTTGCTTTATATAATAAGTCTGGCAACGGATAAAACTGCTTTTCTTTTATAATGTAATTTTGAAATCTGATCATTTATAATGGAAGGAAACTGTTTTGCCTACAAAGAAGTTGATCAAACACAGATTTAAAATAATGACATTATTAACCAGGGAAAAAACAAAAGGCAAGAGTCTTAACATCCCTAACTAGCACACATTTTGAGTTAATGTAATTACTTGCTAGAAGGTAATATATCATCGAGTGTGGAACACAATATGTTTTCAGGTGAATAACCACCTCAGAAAGCAAGCTTGCAATTTCCAGGAAGCAAACTTTTGAAGGCTTGCTCTCAACTTGGATTTACAGTTTATAAGGAAAATAACCAAAAGAACTCCAAGTAATAAATCAAGCTTCAATAAAAAGCCACAAGATTTTAAATTGTTTTTTAATAGATGACTTCTCAGCCACCTTTGATCCTCATTCCCCAGGCTAAAAGCAGAAGTCCTAAAAGCAGACAGATGGAAATTCAGTGTCTGCATAGTTTTGAGTCCACAGTGTTGAAGGTAATCTCTCCTCTCTCTCCTCTCTCTCTCTCTGACTACTCAAGACTTCACTGATGAAATTCAGCAAATTCGTAATCACAAAGTGGTTTGCCAACTAAATTAAGACTTTAGAAAGAAAATACCAGATGCCAGCCTGCAAGTTGCATTAACTACACTACTGGAGACATTCAAATCCTTCAGAATCAACAGAATAACAAGGTAATGTTATATACATAGAAGTATTTGACAAATATGTATTTATACTATGATGGATGTGTACGTTTTTAAATTGAAAACTTTAAATAACAATACCACTGCAAGCACATATTTGGAAAATTAAAATAACAGGTCATATTAATGGTATCAGAGATAATTATTAAGCTCTTCAGTTAAAAAAAAAATTACAGAAATAAATTACAAATGGTTTTACTTATCTTGACTATGAGATTTAAGTCAAAATTCTTGCTGTCAGAAATATTTATTAAATAACTTATTCATGCAAAGTAAGCCTTTATAAAAAATTGATGAGACTGTCAGAGAATGAACAACTAAGAAATGTAAAGACGGGGCTGGGGATTTAGCTCAGTGGTTTGCCGCCTGCTGTGCAAGCTCAAGGACCCGAGTTCAATCCCCGGTACCAAAAAAAAAAAGAAATATAAAGCTGTAGTAAAGGTTAAAATCAGTGATCTTGTATCAATAAAATATCCATTTTTGTTTAGTTTTTTAAAAAGTTAAGTAGGTGGGAGGTTTTGAAAATTGAAACTGACTTGTGACAGTGTGATTTTAAAATGTTTTGCTTTTAATAATTACAGAAAAAAAATTCCATTAATATTTTGAGGAATTTTCTACTAGTTTCATTTGTTATGTTAAATCTTTTGCATAAAAGTGGGGTTTTTGCTTTTTAATTTAGATTTTTGTATTTTCAACATGACTATGTCTAATTATCAGGAATGGTATTTTATGTAGAATTTTGTCTTTGATTAAATAAAATATCACAAATTTCATCTCAAGTTTTAAAACTTAAGACGCCAGGTAGCACATTAAAGTCAATGGTTAATTTTCTTTATAGCTGCCTCTTTTGGTAATAAAATTCAGAGAAGGACATAGTTTTGCTATTTTATTTTAGCTAACATTATATACTCCAAATATTAAAAAAAAATTTCCTGGCTATTTTAAGGAATGCCAACTAGTGACCATACATAAGTAATTCCTTATGTTTTAGTTTTAAAATGAATGATATTCAAAAAATTATGTAAAACTTCAAATATAGCCAACAAAGTTGGAAGTGAGAAATACATAAGTTAAAAATATTTATAGCTAAATAATTATTCTCCATGAAGCTGACTTTTGAATGGATAGCAGGGCAATATAAGGGTAGGAATATCTTGTAATTTACAGGAAAATGTTTCAGCTATTTTTTCCTATTCAGTATTTAACAAAATCCCCAAGAGTGATTTTACACCTATTTCTTTCCACTTTTTAATTTCAAATTCTAATGGGTAATTGTCATCACTTCTCTTTCACAATTTGATAGTACTATAGTAAATAAAGCTAGTAATGAGGATGGTGTAGGAAAAGTGACTCTGCATAGAAACTTAAGACGCTAAAAGGCATAGAAGTGAAGTTGAGAAAGAACAAAACAGAGTCCAAGTACTTTTTTCTGGCTTTTATATGTAAACATAGATGGACTTAGACTAAGATCAAAATTGCTCTAAAAGGCAAACATTCAAAAAACAAATGCAGAGCGCCCCTCATAACACATAATGCGCTCATATTACACTTTGATACACTGTAGTATTTGCTAAGATTAAATATTTTGAGATTCTGTTTTCTGTGGTCCTACTAACTGCTACAATAAAGACCAGAAATCTTAATTTTTAGTGAAAGTTGTATCTGAAAAAGTTACACACAGGGGTAGCACTAGCACCAACTACTGGGACTAAAGTAATCACCCTCCCTCCTGTTCTAGGCACCAAAGAGGAAATGCAGGCCACCAGCAACCTCACCTCTGCACATGGGAACAGCAGCCTCTGTGCCAGAGACTACAAGATTACCCAGGTTCTCTTCCCGCTGCTCTACTCTTTCCTGTTTTTTGTTGGACTCATCACAAACAGCCTGGCAATGAGGATTTTCTTTCAAATCAACAGTAAATCTAACTTCATTATTTTTCTAAAGAACACAGTCATTTCCGATCTTCTCATGATTCTGACTTTTCCATTCAAAATTCTTAGTGATGCCGAACTGGGACCAGGACCTCTGAGAACCTTTGTGTGCCAAGTTACTTCTGTCATATTTTATTTCACAATGTATATCAGTATTTCATTCCTAGGACTGATAACTATCGACCGTTACCAGAAGACCACCAGGCCATTTAAAACATCCAACCCCAGTAATCTCTTGGGGGCTAAGATTCTCTCTGTTGTCATCTGGGCTTTCATGTTCTTATTCTCTTTGCCTAACATGATTCTCACTAACAAGAGGCCAAGAGACAAGAATGTGAAGAAATGCTCTTTCTTTAAATCACAGTTTGGGCTGGTCTGGCATGAAATAGTCAATTACATCTGTCAAGTCATTTTCTGGATTAATTTTTTAATTGTAATTGTATGCTATACGCTCATTACAAAAGAACTCTACAGATCATATGTAAGAACAAGGGGAGCAGGCAAAGTCCCCAGGAAAAAGGTGAATGTCAAAGTTTTCATTATCATTGCTGTGTTCTTTATTTGTTTTGTTCCTTTCCATTTTGCACGAATTCCCTACACCCTGAGTCAGACCCGGGATGTTTTTGACTGTGCTGCAGAGAACACTCTGTTCTACGTCAAAGAAAGCACACTCTGGTTAACTTCTTTGAATGCATGCTTGGATCCATTCATCTATTTTTTCCTTTGCAAATCCTTTAGAAATTCCTTGATAAGCATGCTGAAGTGCCACAATTCTGCAAAATCTCCACCCCGAGAAAACAGGAAGAAAGGACAGGGTGGTGGTGACCCAAGTGAAGAGACTCCAATGTAAACAAATTACTCAAGTTGCAATCTACTAGTATTAAGAATCCCTCAAAGGAAAGCACTGTGTAAAAATATTAACACTAAGAAGTATCTGGGTTCATAACAGTATCTCTTGAATAGATAACTACAAAACTAATTTTCACTTACTTTTCTAGTCTAAAAAGCTATCTTGAAATGTTTGAAAATAACTTAATCTTTACTATGTAGTAAAAAATATATATCCAATCACCATGCTTCATGAAAAACTACAGAGAATTCATTATTTGCATAGCTTCTGCAAAGTGGGTTACCATATAATAACAACTACTGTAACCTTTTTAAATAAACCATTGATCACAATTTTATTTTTATATAAACAGAAAAAAATGATCAATCTGCTATAAAATGATCAATCTACTCACCAAAAATGGTTACGAGATATATAGATATAGATATATAGATATATATAGATATATATATGTATTACTCCCATAACCAAATCATAGCCTATTATGAGATGTAGAAAACTTTAAATGTGATAGATAAAGCGTAACTACTGATTTTTATTAGAAAAATCTTCAGGGATTTAAACTAATTGAAATGGTATTTTGTGGGACTGGATTTTTTAATTGTTCATTAAAATGACAGAGATTTAGAGAATGCCTTTCTAATAAACAGCAGAAATAGTGAATAAAATCATTAAAATTAGAATTACTTTTATAACATCCTAATAATAAAAAACATTAGGAAAGTCAGTTTTACTAATATTTTAACAACTTCAATGGTACAGCACCATCATTTACCCTAATTTTTATTAACTAGCTTCTATAAATACCTGTTATCTGAGTATATGAACATTTCCCTTTATAAGAAAAATGAAGTATGATTACAATGTTGTACAGTGTAACTACGAAGAAGAAAGTGACTATTTGGCATTACTTATTTGTATTTGTGTGTATAAGGTAAAAGTTTACATTAAACTCTGCATCACTTTGTTTGCATTCTTTATTCAAAGATACTACATACCATGGCTCATTCTCTTCCCAAACAACTACTTCAAACACTAAAACCATTTAAGAATCACTACCAGCACTGTTTATTACATGGTACTGTGCACTCTCTTCTAAAGATGAGGTCTCACCTCAACAAGTTCACATACAAATGATAAAATTGGTGATACTTATAGCATATAGTCTGATTTCACACAAGCAATATTTGGTATTTTTATTTTTTAATTGACACATGGTACATATTTAGGGGTATGTTGTAACATTTCAGTACATAAACATGAGTAATGATCACATCAGGGTCACATATAATGGTTTTAATATAAACAAAATATGTAACAGCATTAAGTAAAAATCACTTATCTCAATTATTTATGATGCCCAGCAGTGATTCTCAAACAGAAGAGGGCCCAGACACCAATACTCTATGTAGACCTGGGCAAAGAGCAGTGGTCATTTCTGCCACATTAGTCTACTTTATTGCACTGTATTAATTTGCTGAGATGACTGTTAAGGAGACAGAAAAAACTACAAATGCTGATGGTATTATGGTATTTTTATAAAAAGAACTGTAATGTATTGGAATTACCTATTCTTTGCAGGTATGTATATACAACAAAACTCTAAGTCATCTTTTGTTGGAATTTCTTTACTTGGACAGTAGATACCATATACTCCATCATCAAACAAAAGACAGCCTGAGAGGTCAGTATTTACTGAGTGTTAATTATACATACTACATGCCACTAACTCTAGGTTTAAAATTTTTTATATAATAAAACCCAAGTTTCACAATGGCTTTCATTTTTTTAAAAAGTGTAGATACGGGAGGGTGAAAAATTCAGAAGATAAGAAGACAGAATGTAATCCTAACAGTCTCAGTGGCTTCTGAAGCCTAAGGATGCTCATGATTGGCAGTTGCTCTCAGTGGCTTCTTACAGCAAATATCACAGCAGTGGTTGGCAGGTACAGCTGCTAGGCCAAACCACAGCTCACCACTTATTTGTGCACAATCTATGATCTAAGAATCTTTTTATATTTTCAAGTGTTTGTGGGGGAAAATTTGAAGACTAAAATTTCATAAAACATGAAATTCAAATTTCAGCACCCACAAATAAGGTTTCACTACAGCACAATCCTGTCATTCAGGCTGAATCTATGGCTGCTTTCATGCTACAACAAGAGAGCCGAGTTGTGGTAATGGACACTGTACGGCCTGCACAATTTAAGTATTTCCTAACTCATTCAAAAAGTGGGGACTGTCAACCTTTGAAACAGTACTGTAAGGACAGGAAAAAAAAAAACCTCTGCAAAAACAGAACCATCTTTTCACACATACAGGTGTTTTGGCAGCTTCACACAGAAAAGAGCCGACCACCCTTGGTAGGCAAAGCCCCGAGTGAGATTAGAACATTGCTGGTGGGAACTAAAAGTATGGAAATACACTTACTAAACAATGGGTTATGAAAAACAGCTTGATTTTTTAAAAATGTGAAGGGGGCAGAAGGCAGTTTCCAGGAGAAATATAAATGGCCAATAAAAATATAAATATATATACCCTCCTTATAAATCATAAATTTATATGTGTGTCACAGTTTTTATCTGTAAGTTTCTAATTGATTGAAAATGTTTTCATCACATTAAAATACAAAATATAAAAATATACACACCCTACTTATAAATTTCAAACAGATACACATACTATATAAAATATGGCACAGATTTTTACCTGTAAATTTCTAGTTGATTTAAAAAATTATTTATAACAGTTTTAGAAAATTCTGCTCTTGATGGGAGTATAAATTGGTACCATCTTTCTGGAAACCTATCTGAAAATACCACTCAACATTTTGACACATAACTTTTAACCAGCTACCCTACCTCTAGAAAATCTCCTACAAATATGTTGGAACAAATGCACATGAATACATGGCCAGGAAAAAAAAAAAGAATATATGGACATGCATTTGCTTCATAGTATTATTCTTAAAGGAAAATGTGGAAACAAATTAAATGTCCCCAGTAGAAGCTAAACTAAACTATGGTAGATTTATATATTTATTATTACATTCATTATAAATATATGTTGCTTTTGAAAACATGTCTAACATGTAATAACATGGATCTAAACAAAGATTCAACATGTAAATAATTTAAATATATATGTACACATATACATTGGTTCATATATGAAAGGGGATTAACTTTCACATTCTGCTACATACACTTCTGTATTTGAACTTAAAAATGTGCTTTAACATTAAATATTAAACTTAAATACTAAGTGGTTCAAATAATACTTATAATTGTTTCTAGTTACATGGAGAAATTTTTAACATTTTAATGTACAAAAACATTATATTTACTTTTAAATTGCGTAACTTTTTTTTAGCTCTTTATCACCATTTGTTACTATAGTAAGACATTTTTAAAACAATGTTACATGATTTGAGGAAAGTACCACTGTATACTTTGATGGGAATTAAGTCTCTTCTAGGAATATACCCAGTTCCTTCAACTGTCCACTTCAACTGTCCATCCCAAATCAAAGCAAATACTTCCTCATCTTTTCAGATATTATTCACATGGTACTGGGTAGTCACGTCAATAGGAATCTTTTGACCTAACTTGGAGACTAGACATGGAAATAGTTTTTTACCATTTGCCAGCCTGAATTCTGTGACCTTTCATTGTATCTTCTTTGATTTCCTCCTCAGCATAGTCTTCACTTTGTTTTCAACCTCTAAACTGAGTTTGTAGCAGAAAGTTTCCAAATCCAATGCCTAAAACACTTTCACACACACATTTAAAAGAATGCACTTCTGTTACTAGAACCAGGCATAATTAATCAGTTCCTCTTTTCAAAGTTTCTCAAACATTGGAATTTTGAAATTCAACCTAAATGTGACTTCCACTTTTTATATTACGAAATTATCCTGTCCAGAATTTCTGTTTTATTAAAGTGAAACTATTCCAAACCTAGATAATCGATTTGGGGCTGAAGGGAACTTTGTAACTAACTACATAGGTTAAACGCCTCGAACCTAAAATTTTTTTTAAAAGGTTTGCTTCTTTGTTAGCCTCTACTGAAGTAAACAAAAAGATATATTTAAATTATGTTATAATACATTAGTAAAATCTTGAGTCTATATTCCGGAGGATCAACAATATTTGAGTCACAAGTAAATTTTTCAAATTGTGCTACCCATTGGTTAGAATCAACCAAAATTATTAGGCATTGTGTTGCCTCATATTTAAAAATGTTCAAGGGAATTTCTAGTCTCAGAATCCTAAGCCAAGTCATCCAAAGTTTCCGATAAACTCAACCCCTCAGTCTAGCCCAACTCTATGGTCAAACTTGTGGCAAGAAATAGGAAATGAAACTCACCACGGTGAATCCACATGTCCCATGAAATCTCCTCATTTCCTCTTTCCCTTCACCTATCTGGGAAGCACACTCCCAGAGTCAACAACTTTCCTTACTTCAAGAGATATAAAGGAAAAAAATACTATTCTAAAGACTTTAGCCTACAGATAATTCATGAAATTCCCAAGGTGTTCTGTACTTCAAATACAGCACAAAGGGATTTCTAAGAGTGGCTTTCTAATAAGTGAAATCATGTATCTCCATTCAAATGTGCAATTCATGCACCAGAGCGGTGGGTGGCTAACATTTTTAGTACTTTCTGCATGCTCAGCACAATTCTACACAATTAATTCATCCTTTCAACAATACTATGATGTTGATAATATTTTCAAACACATTATACAGGAAATAATACTTAGACAAAAAGCTGTTAAATCATTTATCAATAATCTAATATGAATATTTAGTGGACCTAAGTTTCTTACCTCAAAAATCTTGGCCTAAGAACCCTTACCAATTAGAAAATGTCATAATACCTCTGAGAAATCCCAGGATCAAAAGACTAAGATAAAAATCTACAAAAGCAGGCCATGATTGTGAGCAAAAATTTCTGGAAAAACTCAAGTCTGTAAGGATGCAGATGATTCTGACTTTAAAACCAAATCTTTGTCTCCTACTTGATTGTATCTTAGGACTGTATTCTTCATCCTTATTATATACTTCATCCTTATTATATACTGAAAAAGTTCATTGACTATACACTGAAATGATAGACTTCAAGAAAGTTATTATGAGAAAACAAAGATAACTGCAACTAAATTAATTTATTCAAAGCATAGGTTAACAGCTAATTAAGTTTAGAATAAAAGAACTTATTTGCAAAACCTCCAAAGGGTGCTCTATTAGGTCATATTACAAAAGTACCAGAGTGAAAATGAGGAAGGAAACTCAGTATAAGAAAGCAGAACATTTGCTTCAGAAACTCTTCAAGGGACGAATTAGTGACTGCAGGAATAAGAAGGCAGAGAGCTGAGTATCTTCTTGAACAAAGGTGAATTTCAATTTTTCTTATGAATGTGCTTGCTTTTAAAAGGCAGAATATGCTTAAAAATGCTTTAAGTTAGTATTCTACAAACCATAGATTATGAGCACAGAGGAATTTACAGCATCTAACATGTATTAACTTACCACATGAATGGGGTTTTGTTTTATTGCAGTTTTTAAAATGGCAATTGTGAATGAAGTAGAACCTGTTACTTGGATTTCACAAGGGTATGAAAGTAATGATATTGTTAAAAGTACTAAAAATTACCATGTGCTTTAAAACTTCTTAGCCAGAAACAACATATGGGTTCTCAACAGATCTACTGAATACGTGGAATAAATGCAAGGTGCTAATATGCTACAAATCTAAAGTTTGCTTTTATTTAAAGTAGCATTTGCCAATCATGAAGGGCTTTTTGTTTTCCTTTGCTTGTGTACGTGTTTCTTTGTAATAGATGACACTGGAAACAATCAATGCCACAGTGATCCAGGGCTTCAACCGGTCTCAGCGATGCCTAAGAGATACTCGGATAACACAGCTGGTGTTCCCAGTCCTCTACACTGTGGTTTTCTTCACTGGTGTCCTGCTGAACACTTTGGCCCTGTGGGTGTTCATTCAGATCCCCAGTTCCTCCACCTTCATCGTCTATCTCAAAAACACTTTGGTGGCTGACTTGATAATGACACTCACGCTTCCTTTCAAAATCCTCTCTGACTCACACCTTGGACCCTGGCAACTCAGAGCTTTTGCGTGTCGTTTCTCTGCCGTAATCTATTATGAGACCATGTATATAGGCATCATGCTCCTGGGCCTTATAGCCTTTGACAGATTTCTCAAGATCATCAGACCCTTTGGAAAATATTTTATTAAAAAACCTGTTTTTGCAAAAATAGTCTCAACTCTCATCTGGTTCCTGTTGTTCCTCATCTCCCTGCCAAATATGATCCTGAACAACAAGGCAGCAACACCATCATCTGTGAAAAAGTGTGCATCCCTGAAGGGCCCTCTGGGGCTGAAATGGCATCGAGTCGTCAATTACATATGCCAGTTTATTTTCTGGACTGTTTTTGTCCTAATCCTTCTGTTTTACATGGTAATTGCAACAAAAGTATACAGTTCTTATAAAAAGTTCAGAAGTAAGGACAGCAAAAACAACAGAAGGGTGGAGGGGAAAGTATTTGTGGTAGTGGCAGTCTTCTTTCTGTGCTTCGCTCCATTTCATTTTGCGAGAGTTCCATACACTCACAGTCAGACCAACAACACAACTGACTGCAAGCAAGAGAATCAACTATTCATTGCTAAAGAAACAACTCTCTTTTTGGCAGCAACTAACATTTGTATGGACCCCTTAATATATATATTCTTATGCAAAAAATTTACAGAAAGATTGCCATGTATAAAATGGAGAAAGACCACAGCATCAAGCCAAGAACATTGCAGCAGTCATACAGACAATATAACCTTAGGCTGACAACTAACTGTGTGTGTGGCTAATTTCTATCTAGTAATAAGATTTCAAAGGGTCATTTATTTGGAAATCAAAATTAAGCAGCAAAAGAAAAAATACTGTGTAATAAATGCTTTATTACATTACCCTAGCGTATAGGAAAGACTGTATAACTTAACTCCACATGGATCTATCTGCTCATAAGCAGAGTGAACTAACATTGACAATCCAACAAACAAAGCAAATGGCCACTAGGGGTCATCTTTTCAAGGTCATTCATTTAATACCATAAGATTAGGAAATGTTCATCTCTAAAGAACCTCCTCTCCAAACATCTCACATATAATTTCAACAACACTACCTCCTTTATAGCACTAAAATGTTAATATCTGCTCAAACAAACTTAAACTTCCAAAGTTCATCTATGAAAGCTAGAGGCAGGGGTCGAAGCAGATGCTAGGTATGAAGAGTCTGAGGATTCAAAGTGGGTCAAAAAAACCATTGAAATCCAGGGGAACAAGTTTCTCCTTAGGATTACAAAGAGCCTCTTCCATATTGCAATAGTACATTAATAATACAGGAGGCACAGCCAACATTAAATCATCCTGCTTATACCCTTGGTGTACATAATTGAGGAGGAGAATGCTTTGTTTTGCAGCAAAGCTTTTCTGGGCCACAGTGTCTACACCCCCACTCCACCACCACACTAGTTGAAAATAATTACTTCACCACTCTTTGGGTGCATGTTAAGTTCCTCATCACAGATTTCCCTTTGCTAGTTAACTATAGTTCTCGACTGCATCTCTCAATGATAGTTAACATTCTTAAAAGATAAGTTTTCTTAATATCTTCCAAAGTACTTCCCACAGATTATGGATTATAGATGTTTTAAATATAATGTACTATTCTTGGTACACATAAGAAATGTAGTTGTTGACCCAAAATCAGTAATATCCACATTAGGAGATTCTTTTCAAAGTCTACTTACTCTTATTTACTTCCATTTTTCCTGAACCCTTTTGTTGGTTTGAAAAAAATTTTTAAAGGCAAATGTGGTTTTCTAGAAATACAGGTGCTAATTTATATGATCTAGAAAAAAACACATAAAGGAAGAATCATTCTCTGTAAATGTGTATGTCACCAGCTCCGAGGCAATTGTCTTAATGTAAAACCCAGGCCTCTCTCCTTTCACAGCCTCAAGGCCCCAAAGGCCACTGAACTTGCCTACCTTGCTGGAATCACCTGCTAACTGATTTTTCATCCCTTGAACTTTATACTCCTGCATAAAACCACAACTGTCAGAATGTGCTATGCTTTTGCCCCTGAGCCATTCTGATCACCTAGAAAACTTATCCCTCTGTGAAACCTAAGTTGTCATCACTTGGTCTATGGAATCTCATCTGGCCAATCTCCCATTACCACCTCAAAATCAATCACTCCATCATCTGTATGCTGTCATACCTTAACTACTGTACTCATCACACTGCTTTGTAATTACTTGCTGAAATACATACCTACTCTTAAAAAAACCTATGTATATTTTTATGGCAGAGGCTGCCTCACTGTGCAATTAATAAATACTTCATAAAACAAATGGGTTTAATTTTTATGTACTAGAGAAGCAAAAACAAAGTCGTGTCATTGATATTATTATCCAAAAATGATATCAACTTCTTGAAATGCAAGGTGAAGTTTCTTTCACTTGCTCTCCACTATGCAAGTAGGGATCTGAGAAGTGATGGTTTTTCTGGGTTTACTACTGAATGACCACGAGTGAAGCAGTCATTCAACAGTGCTTGTGTAGCTCTGAAGCTACTGACCATGAACATTTTAGTTTGAAAGCTACTGACCAAATGCATCAGGCATGCACTGTTGATACTGGCTAAGTAAAATCAATAACTGTAGCTTATGACAATCTCTAAAACTCTCCTTTATAAAAGTACTTTTTTAAAAAAATGTATAACTTTACTATCAAACCACACATATACAAAAATTAAAATTATTCAAAGCAAAACAATGCAAGGAAAAAAACTATAATAATATTCAAATATAGTAGAACTCAACCAAAGCAAACCTGAAAAGTACTTAAACATTTTTCAATATAATTTAAAAAAACATCTCAAGCATTAACAAGACATCAGAGGATGTGATTTGTTTTAGAAAGATTTTCAAAACTAATATTGAACAAATAGTGGTCTGGAAAAAAAATTATAATAATTAGCTAGTAGACTCCACATAGGCCAAATTTTTTTAAATTTAAATTTCAATACAGTCATATGACACATAATGGAAATATAATCTGAGAAATATGTTATTAGGCAATTTCATCCATGTGTATCGCAAAGTACCCCACAGAGTGCCAACTTCTAAGTGCAAACTGAAAAGGTATACGTCAGTCATCTGTGATGGCCCCTTGATATTATCCAAACACGCAGTTAAACATGAGATGCATGAGGCTACCACTGGCATAGCAGCACACTGTTTTACAGTAAACTCTTATATAAGTAAGATTATGCTCTAAAGGATGAAAAGCACAGCATGTTATGATAAGTGCCTAAAACAGTAACAGTCATTTATCACACTGGAGTACTTTTAAAAGTACTTTTGATATGTGATTTTCATCCTCTTTAATGAATTAAATTACCACTACTATTAGGGGGCCCAGTAAATCTGTATTATATCTGTTCAGTACACTACACAATCAAAAGGAGACATTCTACTTTAAGTTACTTGCATCTGAAGCACTCTTGCTTAATAACAATTTATGAGTGGTAGTGTAACCTATATATTTTATCTCTAACAATATTTATAATATCTTCTGAACGTGGTTAGAGTTAATGTATATATTTCCAGATAAAATTTCAATATCAAAATCTTCCATAAATACATTATTCCATTATATTGCAATCAATAGCAAAGTGCCTGATCTGTAAAGTAAAATAATTTAGCAATATCTTAAGGAAGAGACATATTAGAGAGATCTTAAAATTTCATTCACAAAATGATGAACTTCCAAGACTAGCAATCACAATTCTAAATTCCAGAATTTATGAATGGGATGATATAACATTGCCATAAATGAGACACAGAAAAGAATAAAAAGAAAAAATACAAGTTTTGCTATAGCATGTATGTTCAGGACACAATTGAGGGCTTTTGTCAAAAGCTAAAATGTAAGCTAGGCATGATGACACACACCTGTAATCCCATGGCTCCAAAAGGCTGAAGCGGGAAGATCACAAGTTCAAGCCTAGCATGGGAAACTTAACAATTCAGTGAGACCTTGTCTCAAAATACAAAGTAAAAACAGGGCTGGTGATGTAGCTCAGTGTGAAGGCCCTTGGTTCAATCCCCAGTAACACAAAATATAATAAATAAAATGAATGAATAAATGCTAGAATGCAATTATTTTTACTGGATAAACAGGATAAGTTCTTTAGAATATCTTCTAGGAAGAAAAGGGATGGGGAGTTTAACTGTCACACGTGGATGGACTCTTGACAAACCCAGGGAAATTACTGACTGGGGGTGGGAGTTCCCAGCTCAATGAAGTTACAAGTTGATAGAGTTATTCTAAAAAATGAAACTCCTCTAGAAAGTCATATGTATCTTAACAGAACAAAATACCCAGAGCAGAAAAGCCCAAATCAAAGGAAGCAGCAATAAATATGTAAGAAAAGCATGTTTAGAAGGCTTTAGTTCTTATAATTTGTAAAACTTCCGTAGCATCCCCACTCTCCCTGACTAAAGAAAAACAACACAATCATGTGTGGGCTGGCAGCAGCCCAAGGCTGTTGCTTCATAAGCCCTGGCCCAGAAGTTCACAAGAACCTCCCAGGACCTCATACACCTACATTTATTCACCGAATGTCTGCTCTGTGCCAGGCACTTTACAAGGATTATCATCTTTCTAATTCTCACTACATCCCTATGTGACAGACACTGTTAGGCTCCCTGTGTAAGGGAAGGAGAAAAAAGAAAACTGAAGGAAAAAGAAAGTAAATGCTCTGCCCTTGGTGCATGTTGCCCTTCACATAAAAGGCTCAGGTGGTAGTAAAACCCACACAGTGGAGCACACTACAGCTACTCTGATACAAGGCCTCTCTGTCCTATCAGTCACAAGCTGATATCAAACTCCAGCAGCAACAATAGCGAGGAAGCAGCTACTGGAAAGGAAAAGGGAGAAGTCTCAACACAAAGAGCTTCACACTCTCAGGAGTCGGAAGGGTTCAATCATGACACCCTGAATGTACTCTGAGGACCCGTCTAGTATTTGAGAGTTCTTGAGAAAAATTTAAATTCCAGAGAATGGATTGGTTTGCTTATTAAATAAGTAATACCTTCATCGTCTGCATAGGGACAGAGCCTTTGGTCTCTCAAGGTGGAACCTGATAAAAAGTACAGACCACAATGACTGCAGGTGTTGCACAGGGTACCAGAGGCATAATGATCACAGCAATGAAGTTCAGAGGAAAAGGTAGCTAATTCCAAGTGCAACAACTGAGGGCTAGAGGAGATGGATATCTGAAATGGAGCTTGATAGAGAAAACAAAGCATTCAGAAGGGAACACTGTACCACAAGGAGCAGTTTCAAGGAAGGCTCGGGACGGGTAGGTCCTGCACTGGCTAGAGGAGAGGGATGCAAAGTGCCTGAAGAGACAACATACAGAGAACATAAGCTGGAAAAGAGAACTGTATGGGAGTGAGGTGAGGTGTTTGTCCTTCTTTAGTGAGCTACTGAAAGTGTCTGAGGCAAAGAACTGCATGCTGTAGAGGCTGGGCTTTTATTTGTCCAACAGGATTAACACTAAGGCCAGGAGGTCAGTTAATCTTCCATCTATGCAGTCAACAGTCAAAGGAGAAAAAAGTCTGCACAGACATTAGAGACATTTTTAGGAAGACATTTTGAATTTGGAGTCTAAGACTATTGAAAGTAGGGGACTACATGCAAAATATGTTTATAATTAATATGAAAAATGTACTTTTGGTCTATTATAATGTCTGCATCCCTCTCTTCCAAGTGAGAGTAAACTGCCGGAAGATCATTAGATCAGAAGACATACTGGGTCATGAAGGATGGCAAAGAGACAGATTTGTGGTACTGTATCTTGAGTTTGAGTTACCAGTGGGAGAGCTAGGTCAAGGAGTCAAGCCCACAGAGACAAAATATGCACCAGGATGCTACAGACAGGACCAAATTAAAGGCCAAAGGAATGATATTTCTTAAGACAAGGAGAGGGAATGAGGAACAAGATGAGACTCGCAAAGGCCATAGTGTACAAGTCTTACAAACAGAAGAAGAGGAACAGGGGAGGATGGGGGAAGGGAGAATGTTTGGAAAACAAGGAACAAGAGAGATTCAAAGAGGAAATAGTAATGAATAGAATCTCTCTGAAGAGGTCAAAAATGATGAGTCCACAACTACAAGGTCATGGTAACTTTAAGAAGGCGATGGGATAGAGCCCTTGTTTGTGAATAGGAAGCAAGGAATTACAAATTAACACTTCTCTTCCCATAAAGGACAAGTCAGTTTAGGAGTTCCACAGAGAAACAACAGCTATTACATTAGACACTTTTAAGAAGAAATACAATAGTTCTTCCCATACTGAAAAGTACAGAGCGAATATGTTCCACATGAAATTGTAGAGCACAGGCACAAATCAGTTGGTGGAATCACTTGGACGAGAACCAACCTCAGGCTCAAAATAGCTGTCAACCTTTCAGACATTCGTGTCCCCTGAGGTCCTGATTCCCTGCCCCTACCTATTCCAGTATAATGTATTAGGGGATGAAAGTGTAGGGGAAGAGAAAGGGCTGGGGAACATCAAGAGAAAATGGTAGGGATAGAAGGTTCTGAGAAGAGAAGGAGGAATAATAGAAGAGAAAGAAAAATGAAAAACAGAAAGGAAGGAAACTAAATTTAAGATTCATAGTACAAAGGTAAACCAGTTTTTTAAAAAAAGGAATCTATACCTCACTCAGCATATGAACTTTTGCCACTCCTGTAATAAAACTCAAACTGACAAACACAATACCCTCAGGCACTGAAGAAGAATGCGTACCCTTGCTTCTGAACTTCTTTTTAAAAGTAGGATGGTGTATATGACTGAAGTTAGTTGTATACATATTAACAAATTTTATCAAACGTACCTCTGAATTCTTTCATAGCTTTGTCTTTAAAAATACTAATTTAATGTAGTAAACTTATGTATCGCACTAATCTTTTTATCTATCTTTTTATTCCATTTAATTTTGCAATTGTTTTTTCTTGAAACGAGAAATACCTGAACTATGAAGAATTAACCTGAGTGCACTGAACTGCTGAGACCACCTTCCCTGTCTCCCCACACACTTTTTCCCACAATTTCAGATAGTCTGGACTAAGTCCTAATTTCCTCCTCTGTAGCAAAGAAAATTTAAGAAAGATTATAAAAATGATTTAAAAAAATTTTTTTTCAAAATAAATTTTTTTTCACCATTAAAAGGAAATCAAAAGCTTTCTAAATGCAGTCAAAGTATTATTCACATACCTTAACTTCTGAGTTGAGCTGTTTAGGGATGTGTGTTTGGGGGGGTGATTATCTTTTACTGGGAATCTGAACCCTGGACCTTCAAACTGAGCTACATCCTCAGCTCTTTTTTTTAAATTTTGAGACAGGATCTCACTTCACTGCCTGAGCTGAGCTTGAACTTGAGATCCTCCTGCCTCAGCGTCCCAGAGTATTGCAATTACACATTATAGTATTGAGATTACTACCACATCCAGCTGCATTTTCAATTTTTAATTATTCCAACTTTACTGTGCATAAAGACCATCTATTCACTCACTCACTTTCCCTTGGCCCTCCAACAAGAAAAAACTACTACTGTTCCCTAAATTCCCACCAAGTTCTAAACACTGTAGGAATTGCCTTGTACATATTTAAGCTTTGCCCTATCACATTTAAGCTTTAGAATCTTTCATGGTAGGCATTCCCATGTTGACTTTCAAGAAAAAATTGAGGCTGGAGTATACTAATAACTTTGCCCAAAGTTATTGCTACTAAATTGCTACAAAGTAATGCTACTAAATGGAGAAGCTGGGATGCAATTTAGAGTCCCCCTGGCCCTGGTGACGAGTCTTGTCCCAGCCTGACACTGCCTCTCACAAAAAGAGTTCCATAGCTGGAAACAAGATTTCCCAGCCTAGGAGTACCACTGAGAGGACAAGAGTCAGGTGCAGCCCTATCTCCAGACTCAAAATCCAATCCTCCCTTCCCCTTTAATCAAACATTATAAATGAGTTTCTCATACCAGAAAAGAGTAAGTGCTGTATGTAAAGCAGACCTAATAGATATAAATCATTTCAAGTGTCAGATTAAATATAGTAATTCGAGCACAAGGACCCAAAGATAGAAATCTCATCAAAGGAATATTAAAGGGTTTGTAATAATTATACGCAGCACAAATGCACAGCTACTGGATGTGAGCCACAGTTACAATGACTTTGTGTACGGAGATAGAACAGTAAGATTTCATGAAGAATTTACTACAATTCTCACTGCATGTTCTGGCTATATGGAAAAGACATGGGTACTTAAGACAAATTACCAAGACTTTGTTTAAATTAGATCGTTTCTTGTCTTTGTTTTGTAATGAGTTAGTGTATTACAAAGGACTCTGATGTCCTTTATATGAACATTTTTCTTAAAGAAGAAATGGATACACTAGAGTTTATAGTGACACAGAAAAATGAGATTACAACACAAATGACATGCCTTCCAACGCTGAAAGAAAGGACACTGTTCCAGATCCATATCAATAAAGAGAAGAAAAGAAAGGAAGAAAGAGAAAAGTCATATGCCATGGAGAAACCACTAGGGGGTCAAGGTAAGCCTTGGTGATACATATATTCAGTTTCTAACACCAAAACAGAACTGGCAGAAAAGCATTCATTTCAGGATTGAGAAAATTTTCCTTGAGTTTTTTCCTTCTTTCCTTGTTTTCTTTAAGAATATATTTTGAAGTCAGTACAGTTATGAGCAACTTGTCCAAATTTCTGTGATTAACCAGAATCTTCACTGTAGACACTAAAGAGGTTAAATGAGCCATTCCAATATCTCAAAGAAAAAAATGAGTTTGGTCCTACCAACTTTTCAATTGTGTACTATGAATTGGGCATATATACAAAAACAAAATTATAGATTCCTATTTGACTTCAAAACTCTAAACCCCAATGTAAACTTCAATGTAGACCCCAATGTAGTATGTCCTGACTGCCTCAGAAACATAAGCAATTCTCCTTGCTACATGTTCCACAGGACAGATCTAACAAATACAGATGAAACCAATTTTCAGAAGCAAAATTTAACGGAAAGAAAAATGCAGAAGTGTTTGTCTAAGGAATAGAAGGGTCTAAAAAGCATAAAACTAAGCAGCATGTGAGGAGTGACTAGATTCCACAGCAAAAATTTCATAAAAGATAATATTGGGAAACTGGCAGATTTTTAAAGCAAATTGAATATTTCTAAATATTACTCTTTCAAAATTAATGTCCAGGCTGATAATAGTACTATGATAAGGTACATCTTTGCTTTTAGGAAATACATGCTGAAGTACAAAGATGACACATTTGTTACAATGACTGTCACTTCAAACACATTACCAAAATACATGGGGAAGGGAGTGTATATTTGAAAAATGGTAGCAATTTGTAAATGTAGAAGAAATTCAGTCAAAAAGTTCATTTGACTTGTACATGTAGATTTAAAGTTCTTAAAAATTATGTCAGGAGAAATACAATCATTCCCAGCTCCAAAAAGAAAAAGACGTTTTAAGCACTGTGGTAGCAGAAACGCGTACACACACACACACAAACACGGACACTGTCCTGTATTCAAAATAAATCTGAGATCTGAAATAGCTAATCAGTATTATGAAAAGAGTTACCCTGCATTTAAGAAGATTTTCCACTGAAGTGTTAAGGTAATTATTGCGATACAGCCTCCTGGAGCTTTTATGAAATATGAGACTTGCTATAAAAATCAGCAGAAAAAAATTATGCAGGTTTACCTTTCAATGATGTGAACAATAACAAAGTTATGAGCTGGCTGCTGGCTGCTCTCTTCATCAAAGCACTATACTTTTTTTCATGACTAAACGTGTACTACCTACCTTTTTTGAATGTTAGGTACAATCAGCTTTAACAAGCTCTGACTTGAGAATAGCATAAAGTACTTTAAGACTAACACATAAAGCCTGCCTCATGTTAACTTTTTCATTACAAAACTTCCTTTACATTACTACCCAAAGAAATATTAAATTACTGTCCCCCCACACACATTTCACTTAACTGTTAAGGAGGAAGCTCAGCCCAGAATAAAGTACATATCCCCATCTTCCCAACAACCAACACAAAAGTCAAGTGCTTCAATATGCATGAAGGTCCCTCTTCACAAGTACAAGGGCCTACCATAACCATTTTATACCATCTACTTGTCTCACATATTTTTTAAAAGCACTATAAGCCAAGTCATATAATTCTAAATTACTGAAACATTTCCCTTTCAAATTCAAAATAAAAAGTATATAAAAACTATCAGCAACTTTCTGGAAAGGCATTTTCCTTAAAGTGAAAATGTTAATACTAAGCTCATTGACTTTAATAATACAAAGTCAACCAAGGTAATTAATGTACTTAAGTTCAAAGTATATAACAAAACTCCCTTTATTCTTTTAACAGAGGCCTGTCAAATATTTGTCCCTATAAGCTTCCCATTATGACTTTATACACACCAACTAAAATTTGGGGTAATGATCCTAAGAATATGCAGAGAAAGTCTTTGTTCAGTTTACTTTTAAGGAAGCTACAAGGAAAAAAATTATAATAAGTTTTAAAAAGGAGGTACAAGGGATGATTTCCCTTTGAATTGATTCCCTTAAGACTAGCGGTAGTTCTGGCATTAATTTTGAGTTATGAACAACAAACATATCATTTACTATTAATGGATCATGATTTGTAACATAACAAGGACAAGTCTCCCCAAAATAAGGCCTGTTGTCCCAAATGCACAGAACTGGCCTCAAATATGAAAAGGAAAAGTCCATGGAGAAGTAAAAACAGCATTGTGAGACTCAAACCTAAATGAAGAGCTGTTTATAAATCTGGTAAAATTTTTTAAGATTAAGCCATTATTAAATTGGCTAATTTTTATTCAGAGACCATTCCTAGGACTAGCTACTCATTCATAATATGCTCACTCCACCCTACACAGAAAGGAAAAACATGAAAACTGTAGGTGTCTGTTTAGAAAAATACTACAGAACAAATGTAATTTTGATATCCAAATATTGGTAATTTAACATATTTGTTTTTCTGTACAAACACAGAAGGAACACCAAGTAGTACAAACATTATTTCCTTATGGTCTAAGGAAACTAAAAAATGCTTCTACTTGTCAGTATTATTTTTATTTCTCTTCATCTTTGATGGTAACAGATTTTTAATTCATTTGATAAATTTATTATTGATTTGTTTAAATGTTGCATTCAAGAAAATACCAGCATTTTTAGAAATTTTTATCTGAAGGGTCTAAAATTTAACTACAAATAAAAAAATGATTGGATTATATAAACATGTGGGATGCTTTTTCAAAATAACAAGTTGTATTGGTTGAAAAATAGCATTCAAAGAATTCAGTGAACCTATCCCCTACTTAACTTTATTTAAAATATTTGAACATGTATATCTGTGTATATTGTGTGAAAATGGTCTATAGATTTCATCAGAATCATGAAAAGGACTACAGGTTTCCAAAGTTATCAACTGCCACTATAAGTACATTTTAATTTTACTCTTTAAATATGTAGAGTATTTTTAAAAATTTTTCTCTCATGAAACACACATATTCTTTTTCAATCCAGAATTTAACCAGAAGGAAGGGTGCAAATCCCTAATTTCTAATTTGCAACACAAAACCCCAAAATGAAAAAAAAATAGGTAGATTTAAAGACTGGATCTGATTAGTAACTGGGACCCACCCCAGACTTCACCCCCACTCCTTAACTGACTTCTGACACTGAGTTCCAGCCCTCTGTATGCCCTTCAGGTGAATCACCACCACTGTCTGATTCCTGCAGGTTGAGGAAATGCTCTTCCCTGTCTACAAAACTCACCTACTCTTAAACGTGAGTCATTTACATTATCTAAGGAGCAAGTTGCACCACTTGTTCCTGGGCAAGAGAGTCTGAAAAGGCGCCACAGAGGACGGTCTTCAGAGGGGTAGGGGAACACCGATCTCCTCTGGGAGGAGAAAGAAAATGATCATCTTTTATTCTTCACCAGAAAATCCACCGCCTAGCCAACCTTAGTTTCAAAGCTTATTCTCAGTTAGAGATGAGAAGCCTGTTTCAACTTGAAGACACTCGTGTCAGGTGAATGGACTGCCAGCCACCGCAATGAAAGGTAAATGAAAAAAATTTTAATTTTTTTAAAAGCCACGGTTGATGGGATTACTGCCATGATTAAGACTGTATTATACTTTTCCTTAAATCTGAGGTTTGAAGAAAAAGTAGAAATTAGTATTCTGACAATAATATACATAAATCCTCCAAAGGAGACACCACTTTTTGAAATGGGGCCACTGGTGCTTCACAGTTTCCCACTCCGGCAGCCAGAACACATAAACTGGGTACAGCGTGCCTTCAAATTTGGAAATGTTTCCATACTCACTTCTATCTACCAGAATTTTGGGGGGCCACATTTACTTTATTAGATAAGTAAAATCCAATGCCCCTTATAGTTGTTCACTAAGACAAAACAATTTTATAATCTTTTATCCATATTTTTTAAAAAAGAGAGACCAAAGGGGGAAACAATTCTTTTCAATCCGGACTGCCTCATTTTGATCAAAAGAATCTCACTCTTTTCATTGTACCATAAAGAACAGGGCAATCCTCATTCTGATGCCTTAGGAAATCAAGTTAAAACATGTCAGGAAAGATTTTGAGAAAACTGCCCAGCAACTGACAAACAAGTTAGCAACAGCTTAGTCTTGTTCCACATTCAAGCTGTCAGGAAAATTCTCACTTCAGGGAGGAAAATAAAAAGCATGCATGCAGGTTTCACCTCTTCCAAATTGTAACAAAGACTTTCAATGATAGATGAGCCTAAGGTAGATTGATTTATTAGGTTAAAATTTAATTATGATAGAATTTAATATCATATTCTCAAGTTGAATCTGCTTTCTTGTTGGGTATATTAACATTTTAAATACCAATTTTCTTTCCTAATTCTAATTTGAGATTCCAACTTACTAGAAATATGAACAGCAACAAATCTGGCTCTATATTACTGTATAGTTAAGGGCAGAGAAAGCCAGTTACCCCATTGATACCTCATTTCATTATTTCTGCCAGTTTAAGACTGTCTAAAGTTAGGGATCAAGGAGACAATCTCTTCAGCAAAATCCCATCCACAGACTATTATCTCCAACATCAATTTTTCCTACATTTTTTTCTTAAATATGGAATTCAGAACTTATATTGTTCCTCTATCCCCTTCGCCCATGTATCCCTGCAAAAATTAATGTCAGAGCAATAGTCTGTGGAATAGCAAAAAAAAAAAAAAATACCTATTTCATGAAGATATCAAGAGAACAATTTTTCACCTGAGATGGTATATGAAGAGGGCTGAGTTGGGGAACATGGGAACGAGAAGGAAGGCTAAATTAGAATGAATGTTCTTATTGAGGTTGGGCCCATCAGTCTGCCTACTTTTCTTCCTTCCTTGATGTCTTAGCATTTCATTCCCTTTATGAAGAAAAATGTTTCATACTAGCTCTGTACTCGAGAAAATACTATAAGAATATGCTTTAAAATGGAAGAGCCCTGAATGGCCATTTGTTCTTTATATGCTCTAGACTAAGAAAAATTGGGAATACATGTGAAAATCCTTCAAAGCCCAATAAAGGGTAAGGTGAGGAAAAGAGAACAGAAGTGAGGTCAAATCTAGGTGAAGTCACTCCCTGGGAGTCTCAGAGGAGAAGCTCTGTGCCCAGGCACGAGACAGTTTTGGTTTAGGGTGGAAAACCCAAGCAAGACTCAGCAAAACAACTTGTGTTTGGAGAATGACTATGCCAGAAACCATTTGTGTGCCTTGAGCAAACCTTTGACTTCCTAGAAGATCACCTCTCTGCCTCCCAAGTAGAATGAGGAGATTGATTGGGTCATTAGAGTGCCATGTTCCTCTAGAGTTCTATGATTGAAGAGAGATGCTGAGGTTTGGGGATTCATTATTAAAGAATCCAAAGATCAAGCCAAACACTGGGGAATGCCTGAGAGGAGCACAGGGAGAGCCAAAACAGAAGTCCTCCCTAGTTTCATCCCTACCCAGCTCCATGGTATTGATCAAATTTCAACTTATCTAAATTTGAAATTCTTCCTTTACAAGATGGAAATGAACATTTACTCCCCCTACCTGAGTTGGAAAGTTTCAGATTAATACAAATGCAGGGACCAGCTGTGATTCTTAAAGTTATAATCAACTGAAGCAGAGAGGCAAGAGCATAGGTGAATGTAACCCTGCTATTAAAAACTAGGTAAGTGAACCCCATGCAGAACATCAAGGTGAACAAGGACAAAGACTCAAACCTCCTGCTTTAGACCACAGTTAAGCCTGGTTCTGATTTCCAAACTTTCTCTTTCCTTATGGCAAACACAAGTATAATTTACTCTCCACAAGGTACCTAATTAGCATATTTTGTTTCATTAACATTCTTATTGGCCAAAGATGAGAAATTCTACACTAAAACACATTTAAAAAAAAAAATCTCCAAATCAGTTCTATTTAATATAAGCCATCAAATTAAGTCACTTATATCAGTAATTCTATTATTTTTCTTATACAGTAATTCCTAATAATTTCTATGATTTGGAAAGCAACTAACTCCTTAAATCAACCCCTTTCTTCCTTCCCCTTACACCTGTACTCTACCTTCTCTTCCCCTCTCCTTACCTTTTGTGTGTGTGTGTGCGTGGTATTGGCACCGAACACAGGGTTTTACGTATACCAGACACGCACTCTACCACTGAGCTACTTCTCCAGCCCTACTTTTTCTAATGTCTTAGGATCTCTATGGTACAAACTGTGTTTCTAGCATTAATATGAAAATAGTAATAATTAGCATGTATTGATTACTTAATGTGTGGCAAGACTATTGTGTATTCTGCCAAATATTTAGCAAAAATCTTAAGAGGAATGCACTATTATATCTATTTTACAGCTGAGCAAATTGACGTGTAAGTACTTAACTATTACAAGTAAGAAGCCCAGCTCTACCTTGAACCACATCTGCCTGCAGCCAACACTGCTCTTATTCACTACTTTTTAAGTTCTCAATAAACTCACTATTTGCTATTGGCTACATTTTTGAGGGAAGTTTAATAAAAAACTACATAGATGTATACTTACCATACTACCTGACTAGAGTAGATAACTGGTTACTTTGACTCCTAGTTTTCCCAAAGGAGACATCAGAGTATAATCAGCACTAAATACCCAGTCACGATGAGGCAGTGGCAGAACAGGAGCTGTGAGTACCACACTCATAATGACTTGTGATCAAATCCAGGATGCCTCTTGGAACTATGTTAACACAGACACAGTGGTACCACAGCAACATACAGCACATGTATTTTGGAAGAACCTCTCTAAACCTCAGCCTCTCCACTTGAAAAAATGGAAGTAATAGTTCTTACCACATCTTAAGCAGCATCTCAATACTGAGTTCTTACTACATGCCAAGCTCAAATCAAAAGTCTACACTGTGGCAATTCTTCATTCAACCTTATGAGGATTGTTTTACAGAAAAGGAAACTGAGGCACAGAAGGGATAAGTAACTTAAGTTAACAGCAGGTCTGCAATGTAAATTCAATGACTTTTTAACAAATTTAAATATATGTAAATAATGTAGGCCAGTCCTGGGGATATAAAATATAGTAGCCAGCATATGCTGAACCTTTAATATTGTTGTTGTCATTGTACTTCATGAAATAGAAATACAGACTTTTCAACTGGCAGAGTAGAATTTGCTGGTAGCCTTCACAGCTCTCATAGATTAACACTTGGGCTGTTTGCACATATTACAGCACCTAGACCTGTGGCTTTCAGGTCAAGAGCTGACAGGAGAGAGCCAAGAAGCCAATGTGTGTGGACAGACAGACACCAGCTGCTTCTGGACTGTAGGCACTGAGGGTTTGCTATAATCTTGGGGTGGATGGCCTACCTGTCCAAACACGTTCCTCCTCATACCTACCTGACCCAAAGGTTAGAATCAAAACCAAAAATAAATCATTTTAGATAAACTGATTAAGAGACAAATAGGGAAAAATTGCAAAATTGATTACTGGGTATATTTATTAAGGGGACATATCATGACTGCATAGACTCACTACTCAGGGCTCATAGAACATACAATCTTTAAATAATCACAGTTACAATTATATTTTATTCATTTTAACCAAGCATTTTAAAAGACCTGGATGATGAAAATTTTAAGCAAGATAATGACTTGCATGGGCATGGTTAAAAACTGTCTACATACTGTTAGCTTTGAGACTAGTGAGCCTTTAGGCCTGCTAGGATGTTTTCAAATGTTTGGTTAAAGCAACCAGAAAATACTGTAGTTGTGATTATTTTCAGTTTTATTTATAATCTTTGAGTCTGATAGGTACGAAGAGGAATAAATTTCCACAGGTAGGTCATCCAGCCCCAAAGAGTGTGACAAAATGAATGACTAAAAGAACAATGAATGTCATCTAGCAAGTAGTTGCTACCTTTGGTGGCAGCACATCAGTTGGCAGGACTATATCAATGTGCCAGGATGTGCCATTACAATCACTTTGAATAAATAAAACTGTAACATCTGTTAAATATCAGTATTTCTCTTTCCCTTTAACCTAAAACATTGTTCTAATTTGTTACAGCAATAATAAATATATACAAAATGAAAAACTTATTCACTCTGTGCCTGGCACCACCAATACAACATAACCAGTGTTAGCTCTATTTTCATCCTTGGACCCAAAGATAATCTGATATGCACTCCATATTCAGTTTATAGTCTATATGAAACTGCATATCAGACAGGCACTCAAAATTGGCCATTGCAGAAACTAGTTTTTACTGCTCAAAGTTGCTGGCACCATGCTGGCACCTGGCTTTGGTGGGTGCCCTACCCATTCCCAATCTGGAAGACACTCACAACAACATAACCATCTCACACTCAGGGTGACAGAGCCAAATATCTCTATCTTCAGAGGTTTTCCTCACTTCAGCTCCAGTAGGAGACGGTACATTTCCCATGATGAATCCTCCTCCCCTTCCACAAATTATAACCCAATTAACTTCATATCAAACAACTACTCCCTCCAAAGTACTCACAGGATATAACCTGCGTGGTGCC